AAAGCACTCGGGCACTGCCTGAGGGCCCAGGGTTAGTAGGGGGCCCCATGAGATGCCCCTGTTACCTTTCAGAGGCTTTTTTGGGTGTGGTTTGAGTGTGTGCGAAGACATTGTCGGCTCTCTATTCCCCAACCTTCCTTACCCCCTGCTGACTCCTTCCTCATTATTCCCTATACCCTCCATATCTTCCTATCTATTTTCCATGTCTTCCTTTTTTTTTTCCTCCTACATAGGTACTTATTCCTTTGCCCATAGGCGACCTAGTCTCATACCCATACTACACCTGCACAGGTGCCTCTCTCAATCCACGGAGACATTTCCCCACACGTTGGTCACCTCTAGGTGGTACCTCTATTCCTCCTCATGGATAGCACCGAGCTCTCTATACCTTTGCACCCTCTTCCCTTCACCAGAAGCCCAGAACCTTTATTCTTATCCTCTTCCCCCTTACCCTGCTATTTTATGATGAAAGACATATGGGGGAGCAAACAATTGACCCTGTCCGTTTGGTGGATTTCTTACGCTTTATTATGGTTATGATTAGTGTGTGCCTTGATTCTTGCTGTGAACGTATGTTCTTTTTTCTAGTTGAACTTTATTAATAATACATGCGACATGGGATAGTTTTCTCAGCTTCTTCCCGAGAGCATTTCTTACTGTTTGACAGCTGTTATTGGTTTTCTACTGCGTTTCTCATTGACACATTGTATCTCCTTGTACAATTTGTATGCTTTGTGTTTTCTTAATAAACTTTGTGGAAAAAAAAAAAAAAAAAAAGAAAAGATAGGTCCACATCCCCTTTAACCCATTTTCAGCAGACTGTGAAAAAAATTCTTATTTCCACCTCCGTGGTCAAATCACCAAAGTGCAGTCTATAACCAACTTTTAATAAACAGTTAACAGCTGGAATTGCCCAAAAATTGGACTTAAACAGCATGAAATATATGAGTGGATGGATGGATTACAGTATCTGCCACTTCAACTCCTTCTGTGAATGTATCAAACCTCAGGACAGCAGTTAGACAAGCATGAGTATCCCAAAAGTAACAAAAAAAATCACATAGCGTAATCCAGCAAAATAAGCACACTTCCTTTATTAAAAGTATGCACTAGACATGTGCATTATAATTCGTTTTTCGGACAATAATTTCATTTTCAGAGATTTGGATCTATACAAATCTCTGAATGGAGATAGTAATGAATGTAACAAATTTGAAAAAATTTTATAACGAAATTAACAAATACATTTGTTTCATTCCAATTACATCACATGCTCAGGCTTGTGGGGAAATTAATAAAATTTTCAAATTTGTGCAATAATTCAGATTCAGATAACAAATGGATCTGAATTTCGTTCCATTCATTAATTCAATGCACACGACACCAGTCGATGTTAACCAATCAGCGCATGCTATTTCTCTTAGTGGGTTGGACTAGCATCCGACAATATCGACTCCTTCCAATTTGAATCAAATATATAGCAATCTTCTGTAAAAACTGCAAAAACGTTCAAATCCACCTGGACCAATGAATACAGTGAAGGAAAAAAGGGCCCCACTTTGAAAAGAACCCACATTAGACAGTATTTAATCAAGAAATCAACATTAGACAGTAAGTATTTTGCAGAAAGAAAGCCCTTCAAAATATTTCAGGAGCCAAACCAGTCATTTAATACAGTGAAGGAAATATGTATTTGATCCCCTGCTGATTTTAATGTTTGCCCACTCACAAAGAAATGATCAGTCTAAAAATTGAATGGTAGGTGTATTGTAACACTGAGAGACAGATAAGCAACAAAAAATTCAAAAGAAATGCATGTCTAACAAATTATGCACTGATTTGAATGTTCATGAGGGAAATAAGTATTTGATCCCCTTCACAAAACATGACTTACTACTTGGTGGCAAATCCCCTGTTGGAAATCACAGAGGTCAGACATTTCCTGTTGTTGGCCACCAGGTTTGCACACATCTCAGGAGGGATTTTGGCCCACTCCTCTTGGCAGATCCTCTCCAAGTCATTAAAGTTCGGTGGCTGACGTTTGGCAACACGAACGTTCAGCTCCCTCAACAGATTTTCAATCAGATTAAGGTCTGGAGACAGGCTAGGCCACTGCAGGACCTTAATGTGCTTCTTCTTGAGCCACTCCTTTGTTGCCTTGGCCATGTGTTTTGGGACATTGTCATGCTGGAGCACTCATCCACGACCCATTTTCAATGCCCTGGCTGAGAGAAGAAGGCTCTCACTCAAGATTTGAGAGTACATTGCCGCGTCCATCGTCCCTTTGATGCAGTGCAGTTGTCCTGTCCCCTTAGCAGACCCCCCCCCCCAAAGCAGAATGTTTCCACCACCATGTTTGACAGTTGGGATGGTGTTCTAGGGGTCATAGGCAGCATTCCTCCTCCTCCAAACACACAGTTGAGTTGATGCCAAAGAGCTCGATTTTGGTCTCATCTGATCACAACACTTTCAGCCAGTCCTCCTCTGTATCATTCAGATGTTCAGTGTCAAACTTCAGATGGGCCTGGACATGTGCTTCCTTTAGCAGAGGGACCTTGCGGGCACTGCAGGATTTCAATCCTTGTCGGTGTAGTGTGTTACCAATTGTTTTCTTGGTGACTGTGGTCCCAGCTGCCTGGAGATCATTGACAAGATCCTCATGTATAGTTCTGAGACAATTCCTCACTACTCTCATGATCATTAACACTCCACGAGGTGAGATCTTGCATGGTGTACCAGACCTAGGGAGACTGACAGTTGTTTTGTGTTTCTTCCATTTGATTGCACCAACTGTTGTCACCTTCTCACCAAGCTGCTTGGCGGTAGTTTTGTAGCCCAGTCCAGCCTTGTGTAGGTCTACAATCTTGTCCCTGACATCCTTGGACAGCTCTTTGGTCTTTGTCATGGTGGCGAGTTTGGAATCTGATTGTTTGATTGCCCCTGTGGACAGGTGTCTTTTATACAAGTAGCAAAATGAGATTAGCAGCACTCCTTTTAAGAAACTGCTTCTAATCTCAGCTTGTTACCTGTATGAAAGACACCTGGTAGCCAGAAATCCTGTTGAATGATATGGGATCAAATACTTATTTCCCTCATGAACATGCAAATCAGTGCATATTTTGTTAGAGATGCATTTCTTTTGAATTGTTTGTTGCTATTCTGTCTCTGTGTTACAATACACCTACCATTTGATTTTTAGACTGATCATTTCTTTGTGAGTGGGAAAACATTCAAAATCAGCAGGGGATCAATCAAATACTTATTTCCTTCACTGTAAATGAAACAAATGCTTTAGATATGAAGCAAATTCCGAAAACACATTGTTTAAACATAAAAAATATGGCAAAATAAAATTCTTCAATGAACGAAAACATCCAAAATAAAACAAAGCAAAAATTTCCAGCTTGCACATGTCTAGTGTGCACTCACGTAAAACTAGCCTAATTAGACATCAATCAGACAGCAGTGTGACAATCTTCCCTTCTCTTGGAAGCTGATACTCCAGTGAATAAGCGGCCTCTCTCACAGTACAGCCTGCCTCCAGTCTTTACTGCTCATCTACACTGACATGCGCACAAAGTGAAGCCCAGCCCCTCATGTTTTGTCAATAGAAAGACTTTCTCAAAAGATTCCTTTGCATAGATGAGCAGTAAAGAGTTGTGGTGGGCTGTGCTGTGAGTTTGGCTGCTTATTCATTGGAGTACACAGTATCAGCTGCCAGGAAAAGGGAAGACCGTCCCACTGATGTCTGATTGCTGTCTAATTAAGCTGTTTTTTATGTGAGTGCATATTTTTAATAAAGGGGGTATATTTATTTTACTGGATTAGGGTATGTGATTTTTATTACTTTTGGGAAACGCATGTTTGACTAACTGTGGGCCTGAGGTGTGAGACATTTGAAGCAGGAGCTGAAGTGGAACATACTCTAACACATTAATCCATCCATCCAATATGATGTTTCATGCTGTTTAAGCCCAATTTTTGGGGGGAAATTCCAGTTGGTGGGTGTTTGTCTAAGAGTTGGTGATGGGTTTTACTTTGCTGACCACTGAGGTGTAAATAAGAAGTTTTTTTACAGAGTCTGCTGGAAAGGGTTAAAGAGGATGTGGAATTATATTCACTATTTTGATTGTTTTGAAAAGTAATGATATTGGCTTGCAAGGTTTGGGGAATCTTGCCCAAATAATCCTCTGTACTCTATGCTAGTAAATCTAGGTAGAATCCCCAGTGAGTCACCATTTACAAAAAGAGAGAGAAAACATGTTAAGAGCCTTGGCTCTCCAGCTGATAAACTAATGAGTTTAAAGAACATTTTACTGTTTCATTTTAAGATGGGTGGATTGTAAACATTCATCCAATGAGGATTTCCTTAACAGTGCATCTCTTAACTACTAGCCTACAGGGCATTTATACCCCCTTCCTGCCCAGGCCAATTTCCAGCTTTCAGCGCTGTCACACTTTGAATGACAATTGCGTGGTCATGCAACACTGTACCCATATGACATTTTTATAATTTTTTTTTGTGATAGATAGAGCTTTATTTTGGTGCTATTTAATCACCTCTGGATTTTTTATTTTTTCTTAAACAAACCAAAAACCACTGAAAATGTTGCAAAAATTTTTTTTTCTTAGTTTTTGTTATAAAGTTTAGAAATAAGTGATTTTTCTCCTTCACTGATGTGCGCTAATGAGACTGCACTGATGGGCACTGATAGGCTGCACTGATGGACACTGATAGGTAGCACTGATGGGCACTGATGAGGAGGTGCTGGTAGGTGGCACTAATGGACATTGACAGGCATTACTGATGGGCACTGAAAGGCAGCACTGATAGGCGGCACTGACTGGCACTAATAGGCGGCACTGACTGGCACTGTTAGGCGGCACTGACAGGCACTGTTAGGCGGCACTGACAGGCACTGTTAGGCAGCACTGATGCGCACTGATAGGCAGCACTGATGCGCACTGATAGGTGGCACTTGACACTTGGCATTGATAGGTGGCACTGACTGGCACTGATGGGTGACACTGAAAGGCAGCTCTGATGGGCACTGATATGTGGCATTGATGTGCGCTGGTAGGCACTGATATGTGGCACTGATGTGGCACTGGCACGAGGCACTGATGAGCACAGACATAAGGCACTGATGGACACTGACAGGTGGCACTGCTGGGGCTACACTGATCATCAGGGCACACTGATCATCAGTGCCCTGATGATCTGTGTACATGTCCCCTCTGCGGAAAGCCAATTACCGGCTCTCCTCTCCTCGTGAGCTGTCAGTGTGACAGCTCGAGAGGAGAAAAATGCCGAGGGACACAGCGCATCGCCGATCGCCGTGCTGCGCGCTCCCTGAGCCGCGCATGCACAGTGAGACTAGGAGGACGTCATATGATGTCCTCCCAAAATGAGAGAACCACCTTGCGCCCATCATATTACTATATGGCGGGCGGGAGGTGGTTAATATGAAGCCCATTTAACCACTTCCTTACCATGCCATAGCCAAAAGAGAGCTACAGTGAGACTCTCTCATTCCAATAGGGCATCCATGGACATCCTGCCTTGTAAGAACTTCCCTCGCGCTTGCTGGGGCGTGCATCAGGAAGTCACTGTGATTGCTGTGTGCCTTGGACACAGCGCATCACAGATGGGGATGAAGGACAAAATACAGTGACCCATTACCATGTGAACGCTGTGTCCAATGACACACGATCACAAGTGTAAACAAAGCAGGGTCATCAGGAGTTTAACAGGTCTCCTCCTTCCTCACACAGAGATGTATTGTGAGGATAGGAGATGATCTGTGTCAGAAATAGTGAGTCCATTGCTCAACACTTGTTTTACATTGCCACACAGTGCCAATGAGTGCTGTCTTATTAGTGCTGTCTCATCAGTGCCCACCAATGCTGCCACATCAGTGCCGCTTACCAGTGCCAATTAGTGCTGCCTCACCAGTGCCACTTATCAGTGCTGCCACATCAGTGCTACCTCACCAGTGCTGCTAATCAGTGCCCATCAGTGGTGCCTCATCAGCGCCCATCATTGCTGCCTCATCAGTGCACATCACTGTAGCTTATCAGTGCCCATCAGTGCCACCCCATCAGTGGAGCCTTAACAGCACCCAGCCGTGCTGCCTCCTCAGTGCACATCAGTGCATCCCCATCAGTGAAGCCTCAGTGCAGTTCAGTAGTGCACATCAGTGCAGCCTCATTAGTGTACTTCAGTGCAGGTCAGTGCCGCCTAATCAGTGCCCATCAGTGCAGCCCCAGTGCAGTGCATTAGTGCACATCAGTGCAGATCAGTGCCTATTAGTGCAACTTGATCAGTGCCCACCAGTTCAGCCTGATCAGTGCCCATCAGCACTCATCAGAGCAGCCTGATCAGTACCCATCAGCACCCATCAGAGCAGCCTCATCAGCACACATCAGTGCATCCCCTATCAGTGCCCATCAGTTCAGCCTGATCAGTGCTCATCAGCGTAGCCTCAACAGCACCCATCAGCTCATCCTCATCAGCACTTATCAGTGCAGCCTGATCAGTGCCCATCAGTTCAGCTTGATCAGTGCCCATCAGTTCAGCACAGTGACCATCAGCACCCATCAGAGCAGCCTCATTAGCGTCCGTCAGTGCAACCTCAGCAGCACACCTCATAACATACTCATCAGTGCAGCCACATCTGTACCCCTGTCCCCATCACAGCAGTGTGTCGCCACAGCCCTCAATCACCACGATGTCTAAAAAAATGATTTACCAGTCATACCAGATCCTAAGTATGACTGATGAGAGGAGCGGGAGCTCTCAAGTCTTAATACGAACCAGTTTTAAGTAGTAGGTCTGCAATGGATTCAGAGGAGGAGGAAAGTGTGCCCACCAAACGAAGTCATTCTGGTGAGGAGCAGGCAACTAGTGGTGCAATGGCATCCACCAGTAGTGCAGTGGCATCCACCAGAAAAAGTACCTCTGCAAGGGCAGGAATTAGTTAGGTGTCACATTAGCCCCAAAGGGTTAGGGCCCATGCCAATCTTCCATATGCCCTTAAAAACCCTCTATGGCTTCCCCTTAACTCAGGAGCACTGTACTGTACAGCCAGGACCAACACAGAAACTTTTGCTCCCATTCATTTTTTTAAATTGGTTTTCACCAATGATTTACTAAGTTCAATTGTGTACCAGTGCAACCTCTATGCCCAACAATTTATAGCCAACAACCAAACTTCATATTATGTCCATCCCTATGAATGAAAACCATTAACAGTGGAGGAGTTCAATATCTTTTATGGGCCCTCACATTTACTATAGGATTTACAAATAAAAATGAATTATACTTCTACTGGTCCACCCACCCCATCTATCACATGCCCATTTAGTCATCAGTTATGCCAAGAACACATTATTTTCTGATGATCCATTACAATGATAACACCCAGTGCCGAAAATGACTAAGCATATGATAAACTATATAAAATTTGGTCAATTATTTTTTCTCAGAGAAATTCTCCCAATTATATATCCTGGACAAAAACATCTGTGTGGATGAGTCACTTGTCCGCTTCACTGGCAGGTATGGGGTGAAACTTTACAAGTTATGCAACAGAGCCATGGAGTACATGTATGCTTTCTGCATTTACAAAGGAAAGGACAGCCATCTGCATCTCCCTAACTGCCCAGATTATATTGTAACAAGTGGAAAAATTGTTTGGGGTTTGGGACCTTGTATTCTCACTCTTTGAAAAAGGTTATCATCTCTACGTTGATTATTATTATACCAGCTTGCCCCTTTTCCACAATCTCTACCAGAAGAAAACATTAGCTCGTGGCACTGTGAGAGGAAGAGCTTCCCTCAAAGGCTTGTAAATACAAAACTAAGAAGAGGGGAGATGGTGAGTTTGCGGAACAAGGAAGTATTGGCTATGAAGTGGAGGGACAAACCAGACATCTACATGCTTTCCTCAATCTACAATGACACCACCTTTCAAATCCACAGAAGTCCAGAATCCCGAATGTGTACATGAGTACAATATGTTCATGGGGGGAGTTGACTACAATGATCAGATGATCCAGCCCTACCAAGAAGAATCCACCACTGATACAAGAAAGTCGCCATTTGTCTTTTCAATTTTACAGTATAAAATTCTAAACTTACTCTAAAATCCACTGAAAGACCTTAATCCTTTCCTTGATACCAAGAGGAAATCATCACTGCCTTTGTGTACCAGGAAGGACCCAGATGCTGTGAGCAGACTCCATGAGCGCCATTTTCTTAATGAAGTCCCTCCCAGAGAAACAGACCAAAAACAAAAAAATGTAGGGTGTGCTCCAGAGGAGGAGTGAGTTAAACACCTCTTATTTTTGTCCCCAGTGTCCTTCCCAACCAGCCCCATGCATAGAAGAATGTTTGAGGTCATTTTGTGTGTGCTTCCACTGTCCTGGTGCTCCAGGGTCTTCAAAAATGTGATATGTAGTCAGGAAATTAAATGTGTAAGTTATGCCCCAAGAACGCCTAAAGGTGATACTTGGATGTTGGGCTTCTGTATGTGTCCGAGCTGTGGAAGTCTCACACATGTGGTATCCCCATACTCAGGACGAGTAGCAGAATGTGTTTTGGGCTGTAATTACAAGAATATCTATGCCGTGAGAGAGAAATAACTTGTTAATATGACAATTTTGTGTAAAAAAAAAATATATAATTTCTTAATTTTCCATAGAATTGTGGGGAAAAAATTACAACCTCAAAAAACTCACCATGCCTCTTACTAGATACCTCAGACTGTCTTACATTTCAGGGCCTCAAGAAAGTACATGTAGCTTGTAGACTCTATAACTTTCACACAGAGTAAATAATATACACTAATTGGGGTTATTTTTTTGCCAAAGATATGTAGCATTATAAATTCTGGTCTAAATTTATGAAGAAAAATGAATTATTTTGCAAAATTGTATAACAGAAACTATAAAAGTGTTTATATTTTCAAAATATTCACTTTTTTTTTTGCTTATATTGCAAAAAATTAAAAAAAAAAAACAGTTGTGATTAAATACCACCAAAAGAAATCTTTATTTGTGTGAAAAAACAATACAAATTTGGTTTGGGTACAGTGTAGTATGACTGAGTAACTGTCATTCAATGTATGAGAGCATTGAAAGCTGAAAATTGGCCTGGCCAGGAAAGGGGTATAAGTGCCCAGTGGTTAATTATTTGCTTGGTAGCATGGAATGGCTGAATCTGTAAAAAAAATTCAGTCTAGGTAGAATTTCTCATTGTGTGGGTTGCTCAAGACTTAACATTGTACAATGTCTGACAACAAAATGTAGTTTATGTATTTTTTTCATTTTTAAACCCCTTCATTATGCTGTTAGTGAATAATGACATGAATATACAGGTAAGGAATATAAAGTTACATTGGAATAAGTGGTAGTGACTTCAATATCAGTACAGGTCATTCGGTGTGCTTAATAATTGCCATCTTGTCATGTCTGAAGATTAGGGATTAGCTGAGTGTGGTTTGTGGGTGAATCATTGAACTATGCCAAAATTCTAATGTTGAAAACGAACTCCACTTTCATGGGAAAAAAATATTGAAAAAAAATCGTATTGCATATATAACTACGACACAAGCCATATTGGAATATAACACTATTAATCTGCAGCGCTATAATTTGTAACATTTAATATAATCTAAATAACCTAGGTACACAGTATGCATAACACCCCCAGAAATGTAATTTCCTGCTTATGTGATAGGCTTACTGATTTTCCTAGAAATCTGCACTAAAATATCTCCAATTTTAGGCATCCTCTGCAACAAAAATTTCAGAATGCAGATCCTGCCTTGTGCATCAGCTGATCAATAATGAAAAAGTCCCTTCCATGCAGAATCCGTATCCAGAAGACATAGAAGAGCAAACAGCTTTTCCTTCAGAGCAGAAAAAGATAGGACTCTACAAAAAAGTTTGCTAAAATCCCTGCAGTAGTATATATCCCTGGGAGATATGTACTAGTGCAAGAAAAACAATTACTGCTTGGTGGTTAGCAGTGATTCTAATGATGCTTAAAAATTCCCAATTCCTTTAAATAACATGACTGGGGGATACCCTAAAATTGCCTGTGAAGTGACACCTGTACAATATACAGTGTGCTATAAAAAAACTGAACCTTACAACAACAAAAAAAATTACACTGCATTGTATGTGTCATTTCCTGGCTGTTTTTTTGTTTTTGTTAAAAGCATGGTTTTTTGGGGACATTCGGGATTCCAATGCTGCTTTAAAAAAAGAATAAGAAAGAATAACAAAAAAGTGGGGTCCCCCTAAAATTCATACCAGACCCT